AAATGAACCAAAATACCCTCAATTTAACTAATAAACTTAACGTCTGTTCAACAATCACATGGACAATTTGTGTAATTTACTCATTATACAACTTTAATCAAACTACCAAATGGGTCTTTGGTGTAAGCAGTATCGTAGTCTTTGGCCTCTTAGGAGGTCAAAAGATTCAAACTTCACCAAAGGTGAGGACGTCTATGAGTTTATTTGTTCCATTTGTCGTATACAAATATTATATACTTCAAAAAAAAAACTTTAATCAAACTACATTAGTTTGTAATTATTTGTTAATTAAATTAGATTATCATCCAAAATAGACATTCGGTTAATAAAAAAATTACACCATAACACACAAAAAAAATGTATATACAGAGGAATTTTTATTTAGTAAAGGAAAGATCAGTCAAACAAATACATAAAATTTAGAACAAACCTGTAACCTGCATAGAAACACCATTTCCTGGCAATGTCATGAGCTACTTTGTTGGCAGATCCTTTGACAAAAAAGACCGAAATCAATGCTCAGGAGTAAAAGCTGTAAAAGAGGTGGTTATTGAATATTTGAAATCATTTCCGGATTCTGGAGCTCAAGAAGGAAGAGAGGATTTTTAAAACCATGGAGTGAGTTCTTCATCAATCTATTGGGTTTTTGCATTTTAGAGATGATGATTGATGTTTGGGTTTGATTTACGAGGAATTGGTAAGATTAATCATTGTTGATGGTTTATTGTTAAAACAGGGTTAAAGGACTTGATCCTACGCTTTTAGACTTCTAAATCGCCATGGGTGAGCATGACTGCCAAATTATGGATAAAAATCGAGTTGGGTATTGTGCAGGTCGAAACAGAAAGATATCCAATGGGTTGTTGTTTCTCGCGCAATCGAAATGGGTTTCTTCTGGGATTTTGTTTTAAGTAGTTGGAGCATAAATAGGGTTGTTTTAGTGGATTTTAATATCGAATTTTATTCATTCGATTCATGTGTCGATGTGGGATTTCTTTTACCCTTATTTTATAAATATGTGATGTTTTAAATGATTTTAAGCATTGATTATGGTTTTAACGTGTTGTTGGATAATTCAAACTACCATGTTTCACCTTTGGTGTTACAGAGCAATATGTGGATACGTAAGGTGTGTGGAGTTGCACAACAACAGTAGTTGGAATAATTCGCTGTTGGATTTATTATTCAAACTACCATGTTGTAACTTTGGTGTTATTGAGCAATATGTGGATACGAAGGGTATGTGGAGTTACACAGCAGGTGTAGGATTCCTTGAGATAGTGATCTTTCTTGAAAGTTGTGATCCGTACGCGTTGAATGTATTTCTCGACCGCATTGCACTGAATATTATATTTATCACGAAGGGGATGTGATGGGGTTGCTTTAATACACATAACTTATAGTAATTATCAATTAATTATATATATTTTAATTAGCATTTAAATAACAATAAATAAATCTTAATTTAAAACAAAAATCATATTCAAATTTAAAATGATTTTACATCTTAAACATTTTTTTAGTATATAACATATATACGGTAAATAAAACAAATAAACTTACACACCCTATTCACTTTTGGTGAAGTTTGAACTATTGAGCTCCTAAGAGACCAATAACTCACATACCGTTAGACCAAAAAACCATTTGGTTACATTAAATATTTGGCTTCCATTGGGGGTTTGTTTCGTTCAAAGTTTGTATTCATATATTTACGATATTTTTATCATATTATTTCTTCATATATTAACTTATTAATTATTCATTCTTAAGACTGAATATGTGATTTCCATACAGTGTTATGTTCTTTTTTATGAACCATTAATAAATATAACATGAGATTTGAAAACGAACGAGTCAAGACATATACCTACGTATGAACATAACGTTGTATTAAAAATTTCAAATGTACGTTACAATATTTATACAGTTTGTTAAGATGAATTAAAACGGCCCATCATAGACTTATGTTTTTACTGGAATTTTAGAGTGTTTTAACAACCTACTAAATTTGTCAAATTTCACATGTGACGAATATTGTGTCATAAAACTTACACTTACTCAGTCATTGAAGACTTTTCCCATCATGTGATATCACCAAATTATTGCAAGTTAAAAGTCAATATCGTTAACTTGTGTTTGGACTCAACAACCCCTATGAATTACGTTTACATCTGAATAATACTCTACCAGTCTTAAAATAATTGTTCACAAAAGAAACATAATTTAGAAATTACGTAATTATTACATTTTTTTAGTTAACTAAATAATAATTATACTCTTAGCAATAATGGTAATAATAATTTTTTGTGATATACATACATGTATATGTAATTTTAAATCATATTGTGATTAAATTGATGGCCTTATGATGAATATAAAATTATTTTTCTAACAAATCAGTAAATAATGAATTTAATTAAAATCTCATAGATGGTGATATATATATATATATACACACACATATACACACACACACATATATATATATATATATATATATAGATAGATAGATAGATAGATAGATAGATAGATAGATAGATAGATAGATAGATAGATAGATAGATAGATAGAGAGAGAGAGAGAGGAGGAGGTGGTTTACTTTGCAAACCACGTTATTTGTACAAACCATACAAATCTCATTCAACCAATCATAATTTTTCATTTTTTTTTTGTAATTATGAGAGGTTGATTAATCATTTTTATTGTGTAAGATGTTAATCATGGATATTATGATCTTAGTTATATTAATTTTAGAGAAATATATGAAACAACTTTATAAAAAAAATATTATATAAAAAAATTTCAGAAGATTAAACAATTTAATTAAAATTTTCATAAAATTAAACAATGAAATCGACTGATGAGAGTGGTTTGCACAAATATGGGTGGTTTGCATTTGATCGTTCATCTCTCTCTATATATATATGTGTGTGTGTGTGTGAGAGAGAGAGAGAGAGAGAGAGACCTTCCAAAAACTCATAAAATTTGTGATAACTTTGAGAACTATTGCATCATATGTTATTTCACATTGTGAATCGTACACACATGAAACAAACGCTTTGTAAAATAAATATATGTTCATCAATACGTTAAATGTTAGTTATGTATAAAAAAATTATGCTAAACAATATCTTAAAGATATGAGTTCTCAAATGATTAGCCCACAAACATATATATACATATGTGCATACATACACACACACACACATATATATATATATATATATATATATATATATATATATATATATATAACAAATAAATTGAGATAGAATTGTGGGAAATTGACCAAAATAACAAATTTTTGCAACTAACTTCACTTTTTACTTATTTTTGGAACCAAATTTCCATTTTAGCCGGAGTTTTTTTTAAGTATATGATATTTATATACAACAAATAAAACAAATAAACTCATACACCCTCCTCACATTTGATGAAGTTTGAACCCCTGACTTTTTCAAAAATCAAAAACTCACATACCGTTAGGCCAAAGACCCTTTGGTCATTTTAGCATGTGTTTACATGAATGATTTATGCATTTTCATAAAACTTATTTTCAAATTAAAAAAAGTTAGAGTTTCTTTTACACAAATGAGAATCCTTGTGAAAAAATTTGAAACCTACGCAAATTTGCGTAAACATCTTATTTTTTTTTTTAATATGAAAATAGAGTTTATGAAAATAATTAAGAGGTTGTTTGACAGTTGTTGAATGGTTTAGTGCAGAATAATTAAGTGGTCAGAATGATTAAGAAACTCTCATGATACAGTGGAAAATAAAATATCATTGTTTGATAATTATTTACAACGAACTTAGGGCACTGAATGGTTAAGAAAGGTACATGATAAAAAATCATTCAGAAGGTTTTAGAACCATTAAGAGATATATTTTTTTACCAAACAAGATTCATCTCTTAACGATTCAAAGATTGTCTCTTAATAGAACTATTAAGAGTTAAACAAACAAACCCTAAGACATTTATGGTGCGTTTGGTACAGTGGACATAGACAGGACATAACATGACATAGATCTCTGTCTCATGTTTAGCATGAATTTTATGTTGAACAGACAGGAACAGAGTGAAACAAAAAGGAACAGGTTTGTTCCACCCCTACCCCATGGAACAGGGTGGAACAAGGTGGGACAGACTTATATTTTATCAATATAATATCAAAATAAAACTTAATTCTCTTTTAAAACATCAAATAGATCTCTCTTTTACATTTTATTCATTCTTTAAATTTTATTTATTGTATTTTATGTTTCTTAAACTTTCATTTTACTGTCCTCAAAATATTATTTTTATACGGTTTCTAGATTTTTATTAATTTATGTAATTTATTATATATTAATAATAAAAAAATAATGTAGAAAAGAGATAAAAATAAAAATAGAAAACCACATAAACTTTTTATTTCGTATCATTATAATTATTTTGACGAAAACTTTAAATGATATATTTTGTTATAAAAAATAATTATTCTATTATAATTTAATAAATTACATAAATTGTTTTCTTGATGCTTCGATATTATATTTACCTTTTTCATATATTATTAGTTGATTATGAAATCATGTATTTTTGCAAGTAGTAGTGGTTTAATGTAAGTTATACTTTGCACGCCGTATTTGTTAACATTTATATTGATTATTTAGTTAAAAAAAACACTAAACAGTCATTGGGGGTAAATTGGTCATTTTAACTTGTTATGTCCAGTCCTGTCATGTCTTATCAAACGCTAAACAACTATCATGTTTTATCTTATCATGTCTTGTTCTGTCCTGTCATATCATATCTTGTCTGCGTACCAAACGCACCCTTATATAAACTCTAACTACAATAAATTCAACTAAAAAATAAATTTGATAAAAAAAAAAAAAAAACTATTTTAATCAATTTCCTTATAATTTGGGTAAAAAAAATTTAAAAAATTTGGTAAATTTGAAAATACATTTATCCACCTTTTTATTTTGGGACAGTGTCTCACCCCATATCCTTCTCTCAATTTCACACAAATTTCGATATCCGTGGAGAATCAAACACACACACACGCACACATATAGATACAGGACTTCTGTACGTATATCCCACGAACACCCACCACCGGTTACCAATTATCGATCAATCTTCCGATTTTTCTAAATCCAAATTGGGAATTGCATCTCCTCAATAGCAAACAAATTCCCCAATTTCCAGTTTTAGGGTTTCGATTTCTTCTTTCTTTCATTCCACGAACAATGAAGGTTCATCCGGCGCCCAATCGGCGAAACATCACCGTCCGGTACGATTTCGGTTCTCAATCCAACGCCGCTGCGGTTCTTTGCCGTCAAAAAAAGCTCCGGCGACTCCCACACATCTTTGCAAAGGTTCTGGAACTGCCGTTTTACTCCGATGCCGATGTTTCCATCCATGAAACTTCCGATTCTCTTAAATTTGTTGTCGATACAGACGACGATATCGGTACCGATGGCGATATTGCTGCTCATACAATCGAGATCTATCCTGGTGTTACTAAAATTGTTGTAGGTGGGAGGCGAGTTGTGAACAATTGTGGTAATAATCCGGTTAATGAACTGGAGCTAGACGTGTGGCGGTTCCGGCTTCCGGCGTCTACGCTGCCGGAGCTTGCGACGGCGTCGTTTAGTGATGGAGAGCTTGTAGTTGTTGTGCCGAAGGACGTTAACTTGGACGGAAATCAGGGAGAGCTTTGGGTTGAAGGTAACGAAACAGGGCAATTTGTTCTTGTACAGTAATTAAATATCTTAGTTCTTTAAGTATGTGTCTTCTAATCCTCAAGATATATGTTCTGAAAACTTCTGTTACTTATGATTGAAATCTGCTTTCTCTCCATTGGTTTTTAAGTGTTTTCATATTCGTTCTTGGTTTTCTGTGGTTCCATGGATTCTTACATGGTATCATCGTCTAGCCATAATCTGTGTCAGACTTGAACTATTTTCATACTAATGTTTGGTTTTCTGAGGTTCCATGAATTCTTACATGTTATTAGAGTAAGGTCTATCCGTTTAAAGGCCACTCTGGGGCAATTTGTACTTTCTAGCCCCTCGCCCGTCTAGCCATAATCTGTGCTTGTTTAGCTTCTGTTGGAGGTGGCTAGTTATCGACTAGACTTGACCATTTTCATACTAATTTTTGGTTTCATGGGGTTCTACGAATTCTTGCATGGTATCAGTGTCAATGTCTACCCTTTAGCGGCTCGACTATGTGGAAATCTGTACTCTCTATCCCCTCGCTAGTCTAGCCATAATTGGTTGTCTAGCCTTTGTTGGAGGGGGCTAGTTATCGGCTAGACTTGAACCATTTTCATACTAATTTTTGGTTTTATGGGGTAATATGTACTCTCTAGCCCCTCGCCCGTCTAGCATCTTATATGCACAGGAGTGTTGAAGTCTGACATTGGCTAGACTTCGAACCATTTCTTCTCTACTTCTTCTGGGAAGTAAATTTGGGGACTCCACGTATTCTTACATGTTTATTAGGTGCTAATTAATAGTTTTTTTCATGCTAATCATCCTAATGGAAAACATACCATCATTGATTGAATCATGGTTCATCATTAATCACCAAAAGTTGGAAGAAGCCCAATCTAGTCATATTGGTGGATAAACCCCATTTCTAATCATATAGAAGTTGGAGGATTGATCATATGAACACACATTACAATCCTATAGAAATGGGTTGTGATAAATCTTGATGAATTCATTTCTTGTTGATTATTGGTTAACCATCGAATCCCGTTTTACGGACTAAATAATTAGTGAGTTTTTTCAACGATTTTATGGGTTTATAATGTCGTATTGATGCTCTAATACCTCTTGGCTTCTATGAAGTCGATATAATAGAACATGATTACTGATTCTTGCAAGCATTCGACACGATCTTGATCTTGATTGCATGATCCTTTTTCTTCATGTGGAAACTACAAAAAGAAAATTCATATAAAAAATTCACATTGTCAAACAACGAAGCAAATATATATGAAACAATATCTTAAATTCTAGTCTTAGATGAATAAAAAAGATCATGTATGAAATAACACCATCTCCCGGTTCTCTACTTTTATCGGGTTCTCATTTAATTATGCACCATAAAAACTAATTATGCAAATCTGTATGCCTTTGGCAAAATGTGGAATTTGAGAATGTATGCTGCATCTCTGCTTACAGAGTTTCTCAAGTGTTCATTGTGCTCTTATTAAAGAAACTTGCCTGTCTTTGGTTTCATCTAGAACTAGTGGTCTTTGTGTTTATGTGCCTCTTGAATGGTAAATCATACATTGAGAATGTAAAAAGTAAGTCTTGATGTTGATGTGTGTGATGAGAAAATTAGTGCATCTCCAACATGTATGCTACAATTGAAATTTTGGTGATTTAGGAGAGTTTTGTGCTCCAACAATTATGATATATTGTATGGTAAAATAGAAAAAAAAAAAAAAAAAGAAGAGAGAGAATATGAAAATCTTTAAAATTTTATATAAGAGAAAGAATTAATATTTAATTATTTTCCATCAATAAGAGATATTGAAAATAAATGTTTAAGAGAGAAAAAATAATATTTTATTAAATATATTGAATATTTTAATGATATAGTTAATACTAAAATTACTAAAACAAGGTAATTGTTGGAGTTGGATGTAATTCTTTTAGAGATTTTGACTTCTGATACTATATTTTAGGAAAATTATAGCATATTTGTTGGTGTTGGGTATGTTGCTAGTAGGTTGGTTAAATGCAAAATTATATATTTGCCAAGGAGATTGCTAAATACACACCTACTTACTAATTCCCTTCCTATACATCGTCAAAACTTATTTTTTTTTACATTTTCAATATATAATTTGACTTGATTCTGATATAAATATGTGAGTATATAACCGGACAGGCTAAATGCACTCCTAATTGTAAGTGCATCCCTACTTACCCTCCTCATATACATAAACACCAATACTTATCTTTTATATTCTTAATATATGATTTGGAGAATGTGAGTGTTATAAAGAGTTGTTATCCTGTTCAACCTTATGTGATGATTAGATGTAGGGCACTTTGTTAGATGCCCACAACCTGCCTAACTTTTTGAGTCCTTGGCAGAAGCCTGCACATGGGGTTTTGGTTACTTTTGGTTTTTATGTTACATTGGCACAAGTTTCAAACTTTTTCTTCTTTTGGATCTACAAAGGAAAGATTCTTCATTCTACTCAATTCTTTTCTTCCATCATATGAAATCAACCTAAATCTCAACAGAAATTGTTAAATCAAGTGAATGGTGTGGCTGTCGGGTTGACCCTTTTGTTATATAATACTGAATACGCAGGTTTAAATGAGAACCGTAAATATTTGAGAACTAACTATCCATTGTTACTGTCATGCTCGATATTCATGATTCAAGTTATTCATAATGAAGATACATTGCATTCATAATAAATATGCATGATATTCATTATGAATAATGTTCTTGATTATTCAAGGCTATATATTATGATGGTTTTAGTTTTTAAAAGTATTTATGGTTCCTCATTTGAACTTGTCTCTTTTGGAGGATTTTGATGATTGAATGTTGGTTTGCTATGACTTTTGGTTTGTTCATTATTTGCATCTTCATGTGGGTTTCTCTCTTAATACTATACGCCAATGGTTATATATGACTATCGATATATCGTGTGATGTGACTTGAAAGGCTATTATGATCGAAAGAGGTGGTGAGTGCTCCACTTATCGTTCTGATGTGATTATTATCGGCACCTGTCGATGTAATTCATTTGTGTTTAATTTGAAGTATCCATTGATCCATTTTTAGCATATTTGTTTCTCTCTCTTACCCAACTCATTAGTCGGGGATCATTACGAAAACAGTCGTTCAGCTCTTTTTCTTTCAGGATAAGACAGAGGTCATATCTGTCTATATTTTAATTCTTAGACCCCACATCTAGCTAGATGGAATACATATATTATGTTCACTTGACACTGTAGTTATTATGTTACAAACTATAATATAGTAAAACAGAAGAAAAATGAGATCGATAGTCAATACTTGGATTTAAAAAAAAAAGAATGATTATGACTAGAAATATGTCTTCATCGCCTATTAAAACCATTTGACTTCATATTATATATAGAGAGAGCGAGGGAGGAGGTATGTTTCAAATACAACCATATCCATTTATACAACTAATGTAACCCAATTAATTGAGATATTTATGGAAATAATGAAAGTTTATTTATTATGATTTAAATATTTATGGAAGATTACTAGAGTTTATTAATTATGTTTAATATTTTATATTAGTAAACAATAAATTCTTTTATGAAATCACATATTCATCAGATTAAATGTTTTTTTTTCTCTTTCTTTTCCATCTATGTTCATTCTTCAAACGAAGCACCATGTGCTCGAACCTTGATCATTCGTCTTTCGTCGTTTAAGAGAAGATGAACCATCAAACCCCATAAACAACTTATACCAAAAAACCCAAATCCTACAATCCAAACTCCATCAAGAAATGAATACCATCACTTTGATCCAAATGCATCACAATAAACGAGTCGAAGCCGAGATTTCTTGTTTCTACCTCAAAATGAGTAATCGTTTCACACATAACTCTGTTTCCGATCATATAATACTCCCCATCATGGATCAAGGTTCCTTCGGTTCTTTCATCGATGCCTCTTTTGCTTGACTTTTGTGGATGAGAAGCCAATGCTCAATGTCACACCCCACGATCTCATGATGCAACCTTTGACCACCACCGCATGTTTCGAGTCAATTGCCCCCCACAAGTGCACATCTCAGGCTTCCGCCATCGATAACAAGGACCCTGCCTTCCCCTCTCCTCTGGTCTCCAGAAGATCTTTGATGTACAAACACATTGTCGTCAATCATATTTAGTGTGACTCCGATCCCTGTGAAAACCCGACATTGTTCGTAAATTTTGAACACGGGTTGCAAGGCTCCAAGATAACCGGTTGCAAGGTGGGATGCATTCACAACTCAGACTTTAGTTGTAACAACGTAATCTTAATGAAAAATAATAGTTTTACTCTTAAAGTATGGCAAGCAAAACTCTAAACAAACCGAACGAACAAAAATAAATCTTAATTTATTCGTGTTTATATATTCGTTTAACTTTACCAAACAAACGAACCAACACAAATGTTAAACAAACTTAACTTTTCATGTTCATTCGTTATATATTTAAGAAAGAAGAAAAAAGAGCCACGTGGCTGTTTGTTGACGATACGTGGCAAACCTAGTATATCAAAATTGATCTGGCACCTCTCTCGCTTCCACGTGTCATTTGGAAGCTATTGTTTATACCATCTATAAAAAAAACCCTAGCTCCGCTGTGCCACCTGGTCAACCACCGTAAGATCTCCATTTCCGGTGAGAATGAGTCAGGAACAACCACGACGATCACAAGAAGAACCCATCAAATATGGTGACGTTTTCAACGTCTCCGGCAAGTTGGCAAACAAACCCATCACCCCACAAGATGCCGCCGATATGCAGGCTGCCGAGACCAAGGTTCTTGGCCAGACGGTGAAAGGTGGTCCGGCCGCCGTCATGCAGTCAACCGCCAACGTCAACGAGAACCGTGGCCTCGTTGGCCGGTACGATGACCAGGGCATCGCCGTGTCTGACACTGAATACGCAGGCCACCAAATCATAACTGAGTCGGTTGGCGGAGAGGTAACGTTCACTGCTCTCTCACCGGCAATCATATTTTATGTACACTAACCCTAAAATATACTCTAATGATATCTAATTCGTTGAATGTCACGGTTATTTTATAATATAAAACGTTAATTATAATAAATGAATTTTAATAGTTTTCCAGTAATATTCAAATTATGATGAGTAAACTCTTAATTATTACTTTTACAAATATGTCAACTAATTGATTTTTACTGTTTTTTGAAATTATTGAGTTTGTAAAATTTTCTATATATATAAGGTCAGGTTGGAAAACAATATAAAAATGAAAAAGTTAAAAATACGCTGATAACCATATATCTGATATGCGTACAAGTAACTTATAAGCAATTTGTCCGGGACACACGTGTATAAAAACCAAAAAACTTTCAATAATTTGTATGTACATGTTTATACAATTCATTCATATGAATGGTTATCAAAGTGTTCATTAGTTTTTCATTTTTTGAGGTTTTTCCCCAAACCCCCCTCTCTCTCTCTCTCTATATATATATATATATGTATGTATCAGTATGACACGAATTAAATGAGAACCATAAAAAGTTACAAGTTTGTGATCTAAAAGTATCCTTTTACCTGATTTTTTTTGTCCGGTGCTAGTATTTAAGGTATTGTTTCACATATATTTGTTTTATGATAGTTTTACATACATTTGTTTCATAATGTACAACATTTTTACGTGTATTTTTCATTTTTGTTACGTGAACTAAAAAAAAGTTTAACATGTTTCACGATGTAAACACAAACATATATATATATATATATATATATATATATGAAACAATACTTGTAATCATAGGTTTTGATAAATAAAAATTAGTTTTTGCATGGGCTCTCATGTGTCGGTGACGTTTGTGGTTTTCATTTGATTACCGTTCTTTCTCTATAACTTCACAGGTGGTGGGACAGTATGTGCGACCCAACTTGGCTTCTTCTCCGGCTCCGGCGAAATTGGGCGATGACGCCGTTACCATTGGAGAAGCATTGGAGGCCACCGTCATGTCTGCCGGTTCCAAACTGGTAGACCAGGCTGATGCAGCCGCAATACAGGCGGCTGAAGTCCGAGCAACGGGCCGCATGCAGGCTGTTCCTGGAGGTGTAGCCGCTAGGGCTCAAGCCGCTGCCGCCCACAATGCTCGAACCAAACCATTTGAGAACAAAACTAAGCTCGGAGATGTCCTGGCGGCAAGTGTTCTTTGATTTACGAAAAATTTGGGTTTACACACTATAACAAAATGGATTTTATAAGATGCCTAGAATGTTTAATCTTCCTAATAGAATACTTAGGTTTACAAGATCAAACTATAAAGCGTCTTATATGGAAAGCGTTACAATAGGTTTGTGGACGTCTTTAGACGTTTTAACAAGTTCTTTGAGATATTTTTAAAATAAAGTGTCTTATGACATTTTTGAGAAATGTCATTTAAATTCATCTTTTTATATGACACTTGTGTTTATTTTCAAATAGTGTCGTATAAAATAATTAATATGACATTTTGTTCTAAAAACATCTTAAAAACTTGTTAAAACGTCTAAAGCGTCTTATAAACCTATTGTAGCACTTTTAGATAGGACTTTTTTGTTTGGTTTTATAGTTTTAAATTATTTTTTAAGACGTTTCTACATTTTATGTGTTCTTTAAGATCACTTTTATTGTAGTACTGACAAGACGTCATAAATCTCTAAAAATCTTAATATATTACTTTATAAAACTTAAGTTTATGGGCTGAATATATATATATATATATATATATATATATATATATGTCTTACCTAACAGTGTTGCAATAGTTTTATAGAACGGTTTTAGACGTTTTAAATATTTTTTTACACATTCATAGACATTATTTGAAAAAGTTCTATAAAATGATGTGTTTATATGACACTATAAAAAATATCATATAAAAAAACTGATACAACACTTCATTTTTGAAGTGTTATAAAAAAACTGTTTGAGATGCCCAAAATCGTCCTTAAACTTATTGCAACACTCTTACATATGACGCACATGTGGTTGGTTCTCTGAATTTAAGTTCTATAAAATAGTCTATTATCACATTTAGAGATTTGAAGCGTCTTAAAAACCCGCATTTTGTGAAATAGTGCATCTTAAAACAAAATTGACATAATAAATATGTAATATGATGTTGATTTTCCGATTTCGAGTATTAATTTGGCCCGATATTTGAGGATGCATGTAGGATGCGACAAAATTGTTGCCGGAAGACAAGCCGGTGACGAGGGTGGATGCAGAAGCGGTGATAGAGGCGGAGATACGTAACAAACCGAACCTGGCGACCACCCCAGGTGGCGTAGCTTCGGCAGTAGATGCAGCAGCGAAGATAAACCAACAGAAGTGAATGTAGAATATAGAAATCGTGTCAGATAAAGAAAAGAAGCAGAAGGAGGATGTATGGAATATGTTGATGATGGTTTTCTGAATAAAAGGTGACGCCGTTTGCATTCGTACAATTCCATCTAAATACTAAAAACTCTTTATTATTGGTACCATGCTGGATAAAGTTAATAAGCACTTTAAATAAGCAATCTCAAACACCTTCTAAATACAAGAATTGAGGTTTCAAAAAATCCCTAGTAAGACACCATTAACTTGTATGACTTTTGACGGGGGCATGTGCCCCTACCCACGTAAGGTGGATTCACCATGGCCTAACGTTAACCGATCTTTCGTAACCGGTACTCGGTCTAACGGGTTTGGATTTTTTTAATGATGAAATGTTTCGAATTGCATGGCAGTATCATACACTAGCGTATTTTGGAACAAAATGATGAACCTTATTTTAATTCAAATAAAATGTAATTTTGACACATCTTTTATTTTCGAGGTCGAACGCGTGCTCGAACCTCCGGTTCCTACTCCCTCAAGTCGAACCTTTTGGCAATGGTTTTTGTTCCAACTATTAGTAATAATTGTTAGTTTTTTCATCAAATAGACTTGGACAAATTCCCTTGTATATATGTGAGTCTCTCCTCTCCTAATATGTAACAAAGGACCATTTTTGTAAAAATCACGAAACACAGGGACCAAATTCATAGTTTACTCATATACATATATATATATATATAGAGAGAGAGAGAGAGAGAGAGAGAGAGAGAGATTGGTTATTATACAACCTTTGACATTTGTGCAACCAATACAACTTAATCTCAACCGTCCATTTCATTTGATGAATATGTGATTTCATAGAAGTTTTGATTGTTTTCTAATATAAAGTATTAATCATAATTAATGAACTCTGTTCATATTCCATAAATATTCAAATCATAATAAATAAACTCTCATCATTTTTATAAATATCTCAATTAATTGGGTTGTAAGGGTTGTACAAATACACAAGGTTGTAAAAGAAATATACCCTATATATATATATAAGAGTGTTCAAATGAAAACCGCCTCCATTTTTGTAAACCCTGTAAATCAATTTTATCTATCTATTTTCTTAATCAATGATCAATATTAGTTTACTTTATTTTAGGAAATTAAAAAATATATATATTAAAATTTTATTTTATATCAGCAATAAGGGCAAAATGGTAAACAAAAATACATTATATTCAAGGCAACAATATCTTTTATATCATATTATAAATGAAACTATTTTATTTTGTAAAGCAATATATTATTTTTACGTTTAAATAGCATTCATCAATAAAATATATCAAAAAAATAAATAAAACTCACCATATTCAATTCTATATAATGAATCATTTCAAAATTTGAATTACATTATATGAACGAAATTGGTTTCAAAATTTAATCAACAAACTAATCAACGTAATACTGATCATATTTCGTAATTTTCATTATACTAGTAGATGGATCCGTTACATTTAGATAACGAAAATTTTTCATTGTTTATTGAGTTCATAAAATTTTATAATATAACATGAAATAATTTCATTGTCTTAACTGTTTACTGCGTTCATAGAATTTTGTGATAAAACATGAAATTTTACTCATGGTTTGATGTGTCATTTGTTATTTCATGATATTGATAATGAACTTTATTCGCTTTTCGCTAATGTTACAGCTTTTTTATTCCTTATCCTGAAATTGTTTCAATGTCCTTTACACAACCATGTAAATATGCACTCTATTCATTATGAAATGAATTTCAAAACGCACCGGTTTCATAATGAATCCGTTTCAGCATGTAATTATTTCATGACGAACCGTATACGTTATTCACCCGTTTTATTTTCCATTTCAACGTCACTGAAACGGGATTCACCATCAAATCAGTTCACTACTCATTGTTCAATTACGCCATGAACCAGTTTCACTTTCATGACAACTGTTTCATGTAAATTAATTTCTTTATTTCGCTCCTGATTTGATGAATTCATTCATTTAAGCCTTGCAATCATAAAGATTCGGGAGCATATTACAATCTTCAAGATTCTGGAACAGTTTCTTCATGTACCCGTTTCATCATGCATTATTTCATGACGAACCAAATACATTATACACATGTTTCACTATTCATGTTCAATAACGCCATAAACCAGTTTCACTTTCATGAAACCTATTTCATGTACATTAATTTTCTTATTTCACCTCTGATTTGATGAATTCATTTCTTTAATCCTTACAATCTTCAAGATTCTGGAGCAGATTACAATCTTCAAGATTCTGGAGCAGATTACAATTTTCAAGATTCTGTAGCAGATTCATCATGCAATTATTTCATGACGAACCAAATACATTATGCACCCGTTTCATTTTCCACTTCACCTACTAAATTGATCAACTACACCATCAATGCAACGGGTTCACCATGAAAATGTTTCACTACTCATTTTTTATTTGCCACATGAACCAGTTTCACCTTCATAAAACCTGTTTCATTTGTATTAATTTTTTTTGTCCAACTATGATTTGATGAATTCATTACATTATGGCTTACAATCTTCAARATTCACCAGCAGATTCAATTGCATCACAATATATTTAGTTCAAATTTTAAATATTAAAATATAATTAAATATTTAAATGTTATCATTTATAAAATTTTCTTAATTAAGATTTATTAATAATTTCTATTTAATAGAAAATATTATAAATAACCAAAATATCCTTATTGATAAAATTTAATTTAAAAAAAATGGAATTTTCCTATTGGTCGAAATTAGTTTACACGGTTTCTTAAAAATATACGGTTTTCATTTGAACGTGCCCCTATATATATATATATATATATATATATATATGTGTGTGTGTGTGTGTGTGTGTTTGAGAGAGAGAGAGAGTGTGTGTACATATATGCGTGTATATATGGATTTGGGATCACGTTAGACTACGTTTTTACAGTTAAAACTTTACAACAAAACGTCGTGATGATAACCTTCACAGTGTTTTTGCTGTGAAGGTTCGGTTTTTTTACTTTCACAGCCCTTCTGCTCTGAAGTTTCAAGTGTAAGAAAGTAGTCTCGCGGGTCTCACAAAAACAGATTGATCTCACGTAAACCCAACCCTATATATATATATATATATATATATATGTGTGTGTATGCATATATATGTGTGTACATATATGCGTGTGATGTGTATATATTTATATATGTGTACATATATGCGAGTATGCTGTGATGTGTGTATGTACAAACACATGTGATATTTATCGCCTACTTTGATTTCACGTTTCTGTACAATATATACACGAATCCTTTGTCATATATGTTCACACGTGTGATTTGTGTTAGACAAATCTACACATATATGTATATACACACACACACGTACATACACACATAGATGTATATATATGTATATGTTTGTGAAGACCACCCTTCTTTCATCGGGCTATTTTTGGACCAAACAACCAACCGAATACGAAAAGCGCAATGCAAAATTCATGAACCATCCAAAGGGAAAGTCAATTCCTCATATAAGATCCCAAAAAACACATACTTGCAAGATCATCCAAGAGAAAGTTACAACTATTACGATGACATAAAACAGCTTAAAACCAAACATTCAACAAAATTGATCAGAGATTTTATAGATAAATGTCTAAAACCAGAATGTAATTTTCGTTTCCAATCTATCTCTTCTTCGACACACCAACAGTCTTACCCCTGCGTCCAGTGGTTTTGGTGTGCTGACCACGCACACGAAGACCCCAGTAATGACGAAGACCACGATGGTTCCTGTCAAAAAAACCATGCTTACCATAAGATTTCACCTTAAAAACACCTTGAAAACATAGAAGAGAAGATGTGCCGGCCGTTAAGGTGTTATTGGTACATAGATGTGACTGGAATGAAACTAACCAGACTGCAAGAATGTAAACAAGCCAAGTCGAATAGAGCAGGTTATTTGAGCTCATCGATTAACCTTTTCAAAGTCAGGCTCGAGCTTGAATATTTTCTTCAATGTGAGCTCAAGCTCGATACTTGTTTATAAGCTCGAATTCGAGATCGATTAACTTGTGTATTTACTCAAGCTCGATGATTTTTATATTTTGATTATATAATTTGTAAACATCTGAACATGTTTGGGTCGAAAAAAGTGTATGCTCAAATGGCTTGGCTTGGTTCGACTCAGTAAAGTTTAATCAAGTTTTTGAATGAGTTAGAGTTAAAAATTGGTGTTATGGAGCTTGACTCGTGAAGTTAAGCAAGCGTCATTTTGTGTTTGAGATCAACTCGAGCTCGATAGTTATTAACTCGAGTAGCTCGTTAAATGCTCGACTCATTTGTAACAAGGGCAAGAGCAGAGTAGGGGGTGAAAAAAGTGGAAAAGGTTCTTGGGTTTTATTTAGACAAGGGTAGTTTAGCAATTTACCAATATCGTCTCTGCTAACATAATTTTCCCCCCTATTATGATGGGACACAAAAAAAACATTTTTGCCCCATTTTGACATCACATGACAATTTTTTGTCCTACCCTATCACGTGCAGCGTTTGGTATGCCGATGGGAATGGAGTGAAGAAAACTGGACTAGACGGATGAGGGTAGGCAGAGTAGGTGGATTTTACTCCCTTCGTCCAAAAATAAACGTCCACAATAAAAATGCCAGATTAATTTTAGAAATGCACAATATTAAACTTCTTAAGTAGCCAAATGACAATTTTACCCTTGATAATAGAGAGATTTTTTCCACCTCATGATTAAGGGTAGAATGAGAAACTAGAAACTCATTTTCGAGGTGGACACTAACCTTGACACAAACTAAAATAGAAATATTAACAAATAACTTGGGACAGACAGAGTAATTAACGAGGGCAGTTTAGCATGTTCCCTGTTATAGTGGAATGAAGAAAATGCAGTCTCGTCCCATTAACAAGTTTTTGTTCTATCCTGTCTCATCCTACCCCACAAACCAATTGCACTGATAAAACCATGAACAGTTAAAAGAAAGAAGTTTTCTGCCAATTATGGAAACAAGACAAACCTGATTTTCTTCAAGCGCTCAAGGTCATCTCTCAACTTCATGTCGAGTGCATTTGATGTGACCTGGGAGTACTTTCCATCCTTGTAATCTTTCTTCCTGTTCAAAAACCAGTCTGGGATTTTGAACTGACGTGGGTTTGCCACGATTGTCATCAGATTGTCAATCTCGGCATTGGAAAGTTCTCCAGCCCTGCATTTATGAGTTGCAAAAAGATTATGACACGATTGAAATAAATTGAAGAACAATCACGATAGAAAAGCTGCAAGTTCAATTTCAAAGACAACAAATATCAACTGCTTCAATTGAACATAATCTACAAGCTATAGAAAATTCAATAGATGATCCTATAAACATCAAAACATATAAGACCAATACGATAACCACAAACTTAAGGTGTCAGAAGACCAGCAGGTGCTCATGAACCATCCAAGCAAAACTTGGAAATATGTCAAATTCAAAATCTCAGCAAGTGTCCAGAAACAATACATCAAGTACTACAGTTATATTGAGAAACAGTGATACAATCATTCAGAGGAAGCCAATCAAGAATGAAGAACTACAGATACCAAAACCAATTCGAAAATAGAATCAGAAATACCACAACCAGTGTTGCTGGCCACGAATACCTTAGTGGCGTCCCCGTGTGGCCGAAGGGGAAATTGACTAAATAGCCAATCTATCCCACCTCCATTCACTTTTTAGCCACATTTTCAAGGCAATTCCCAAAATAGTCATCCTTTATGCAAATAAGTACTTTTCAACGCAAATGTGTCATTTTTTTTTACACATATGCCCATTTTCATTTTTTCTTCTTTTTATTAGAAATTTGTGGTTTACACGAATACATAAAACATTTACGTAAAGGATGGCTTTTTCGGAAATTGCCTTAAAAAATGCGGCTAAAAAGTGAATGGAGGTGGAGAGGTTAACCAAAAGGCTGGCGTCCAACACCACTTAAGCCTGTGGGAGGCAGCCATGGTCCAAGGCCTGGTTTTTCTAACATGATATTTGATTTTTCTTATCCTTTTAGCATCCTGCTTTCTAATTTTTAGTATATTGACATAATTAAAATATCATATCATTCACTTATCGAGTAATTGTAGAAAACACGTGTGTATATATTTATATATAGAGTATACATCTTCGACACCATAATCATGCCCTTGAAAATCATTATAGCCTCGAAATGGCTCCTTAGGCTTGAGGTTTTGACCAAGGCGTCAAGCAAAGACTCGCACCATTTAGAACCTTGTTCACAACCGAGGTAAAAAAATACGACAATAGACTGTGTTCTTATTTCAAATTCAAGTTCTATACTTTCATATAATTTATAATTATCATGATTCAATTATATGTACGACAAAAGCACGATCATTTAAGCTAAATCTCAACACTTCTTTGAAGTTTTTCAATATAATAGATCAAAAATCGAAATGAGACAAAACCTGCACAACCAGATCTTAACAAAAAAATAAGCTACATATGACAATTTACCTCTTGTTCATGTCGACATCAGCCTTCTTGCAGACGATGTTGGCAAAACGACGACCGATACCTTTGATGGAGGTCATAGCAAACATAATTTTTTGCTTTCCATCAACATTCGTGTTCTGTACACGAAGAATGTGCTGAAAATCTTCATTTGCTACCAGCGACTGCATAATTTATCACATCACAACACCACAAAAAGAAACACACAATCAACACTCGATACAATCAGAGCACGTAATAAGAGATGGAGAGATTGACAGATTTAGAAGGATTTAGAGCTCACCATGATTGCAGTTAAAGTTGCAGGTCTTGGCGGCTGGTGCTCCGGAAAGCTGTAATCGGCGAGAAATTGTAAACCCTAGAGACTCCCCATTGAAGGATGCAAAGGCCTTTATATACATATGAACCAGTTGGATCACCTAGGCTTTTTGATTAATAATTGGGCCGCCATAAAAGTCGGGCCTGTTCAAGTAGAAATTTTGTTAGGTGGCCCAATTTGGTTTTGGCTCTCAAATCTCAATTAGAGATGCTCAAAAATGGGTCCCCGCCAGATTGAGTTGGGTCCAGATCGGTCCCGGTGTTTCAAGTATTATTTCCGTAACTGGTTTCGATGAAACTGGTCCCAACTAAATTAAAATTATTTATTTTTTCATATTTGTCAAACTAGCTAATAAGTTAACTGATAACTGATAATCTACCTTATAAGTTGGGAGTCCTTAACTGAATGCTTACATGAGTAACGCTTACCAAGTTACATTATCTTACCGGATGAATATGACAAAAACCAAGAATCTTACCCGATAAGAGCGAGACAAGGACCAAGAAAGTATTATCCGATAAGTGAGCAACGATTTTTACCATAGTTAGCGCTTAACGGGTAAATTGTTGCATATGATGTCGTTTTTGTTGACTAAAATCTTACATGATAAGTAAATGATAGTGTTGAATTTTACCGCTAAGAGTTTATCGGGTAAGTGTTTGGTAAACAAACCCTTAGTTTATGTTTGTAAAACAATATCTTGGTGAGTTTACCTTAGATGAAATATTAATGCGTTCAGAGAATTTAAAATTTAACCGAAATCGATAGAATTTATATTTCACAAAATGTTAAAATACCGTTGTTGGTCCTCAACTGTATATATACATATAACTGCAAATTCATTACCCTCGTCTTACTAGTTTAATTCCAATTCTATGATTTAAGTTTTTATTTTTTATATGAAATCTGATCCTACAAAAAATAAAATTTGTGTTGTTCATTTCAATAAGATCGAGATGCAAATCGAGACTTAGGGGTGTTTACGAAGTGAGTATCGCATGGACCGAGAATCTTACCCGGTAAGAGAATGAGAAAACTCTTACTCATTGTCTTACCGGATTTCACTTAGTTTACCAGTGAGCATAGCAAGGACTGAGAATCTTACCTGGTAAGAGAATGAGAAGACTTATACTCGATTACTCTGACTATCGCTTATCAAGTAATGGATGCTTACAAACAATCCATTTTGATGGCCGAAAATGTTATTCACAGGATAAGCGAGGTTGCAACTCTTGTCAGTTAGTACTTGATCGGTAAACAACCCCTTAATATATCGAAGGGGAACAAATTGACGTTATTGTATGTGTTGTGTGCGTGTGTGTGTATATATATATAAAAAGAAAATATGAAGAAGACTAAGGACTATATATATCATTATCATATTGTTTTCAGGCAGGCAAATTGAAAAAGGCAACAACTTCTACAAGCTTTTTTATGTTCTTCACAAAAGCAACTAAATCTAAAGATTTCCTACAAACCCTTTCAATAGAAGATCAATTTACAAACCTAAAATCTACAAAAAGCCTGTCTGAACCATCTCTCAAAGGCAGTGGTTGATTCTTATTAACATGCAACTAAATGCATCGTCATCATTTCATCCCCTACCGACTGCGATCCAACGGCCATAAACCGACCTGCAATCGGAGAAGCGTGATCGCAAGTTAACAAACGGAGTAACACATCAATAGAGGCAGCTTTAAATGAAAACTATAAATATTTTGAGAACCAAAGAACCAATCATTCATGTATTATTCATAATGAATAACCTTAAATATTACTCATCATGAATATCACGCATTTTTCACAATGAATATAATGTATTTTCATTATGAATAATGAAAATGCATGATATTTATGATAAATGATATTCATAAACATTTAGTATTATTCATAAAGAACAATATATTGATGCTCGGTTCCTAGGTTATCAAAACATACAGGTTCTCATTCGAACTTCTCTCGCCTATAAATATTTATCTCACCTTTGTTTCACGAAACCGAGTCAAAGTATGACGAGAGGTTGCGTATCACACGATTTGGAATCACCATGATCGACCCGAGACCTTGTTTCCGATAGCTCAAATGACGTTCTGCACGGCTCGTTTGTGAGAGAATTGTCACCAACAATATGTGAATCGGTGTCAACTGGAGTCGGATGAAGATTCAAGTCAAACGTGTTCTTCGGAGCCAATTTAGATGTCGTAGATGCTTCGGCCGCGGAAATACCATCATTCTCAACATCCAACTCTAGTTTCGGTGTTCCGTACAGCTCGCAAGTCATATCAGCCGCAGAATCATCAGAAGTTCGAACATCTGTGGACTTTGCATCAGATGATATCGGGCCTGTAGTCTCCAGAAACCGACATCTATCGTTCTTTACCGGAAAATTTAAGTCACACAGGCCATTGGCACCATCAGAAATCATGAACTTATCCTTCTCGAGGCGTGAAACATCCTCTTTAGGACAGCTGCATCCACCCGTTAAACCCGTAGTTTCTTCTGGTGGTTCATGATCGAAGGAATCTTTCGGAATCCCGGCTGCGGCCTCCTCGTGACGGCTGCAACCGTTCATTAAGACGGTCGGTTCTTTGGTTCGTTCATTATCGATATCATCTGTCCCAACCTCGGCTGCATCAGCAGGCCTTTGATTACAATCGATTGCATTTGATGTCATGGGTTCGGATTGAGAGACGGTCTTATCATTCGGGTCCGGACAGCTACAGACGTCCATTAAGACGGTAGCTTCTTCTGCTTCATCTTTCACAATCTCAGATGCATCTGAGTGGTTGTCGTTCGGCTCGGAGGTGGTATGTTCCACAGCTTTGTCATCAGATACTACAGAGTTGGAACCAGATTGCAAAATCAAAAGTTTGTTAAAATTGGCTTTACAAGCAAACAAATATGTCTAAGTGGCTGTTTGGTTGGTTTTTCATTACGTTTTTTATGGATAGAGTTGTCTGTCTGGATTAATCTGTCTAAATAGATTGGGAAGGTTTTTGTTCGGAAGGGTTTTTATAGATGGAAAAAACCTGTTTTTAACTGGGAGGGGCAGGTTTGAGAAAAACTTGCCTTTCTTAATAAAGCTCCCTTCTAGAAACTTATTGAATAAGCCATTTTCTATACTATTAAGCCACCACCAACCAGTCATGTATAGCTGACCGAATAAGTTGTCAGTCCGATTATGCTAATTAAGCTGCTAACAAACAGACCCTAAATGTCATAATAGACCGCTTTATAGGACTTAAGCTTATACGACCAAACAATTGTGCGCCCTATGTAAAAGTGTTACAATTAGTCGATAGGGCGCTTTTGGGCATTTTAACAAGTTTTTAATAACACTTTGAGAAATAAAACGTCCTATTAGTCTTCTTATATGACATGTTTGAAGAAATGTCTTATAAAAACAAGTATTATATAAAAGGATGTGCTCAAAAATATCAAAAACCAAACGGGACCCTTAGGGTATAGGATTTAGGACCCACAGTGATGGTTAGATAGAAAGGATAAGCAAATAAAAGACGAGCATTGATGAGTACCTGCAGATGGGGTGGGACTCCTATCGGCCAATGGATTCCGAAGAAGAGGTTTCTGAAGCATATCTATACCGGGAAACACGAGCATGTTCATGTACTTCATTGCTTGCCTCTTCGATTCTTCAAGGGGCATAAAACCGAACACCTTCGTCCATGTTTGCAGCAATTCAGGGATGGCGGGAATGATCAACTCTTCCACGCCAATAGAAGAAAGAGTCTGAAAATATAGTTATCATCCAACACTTGCCAATATAAACTACTACTTAATAAGCATTACATTGTGTTTGGTATGCAGACAGGACGGGATGGGACGAGACAGACGAGAGTGAGTAGGCGGGTGTCAAAGGTGTTGGGGTTTTAATTTGACATGTGTAGTTTAGTAATTTATCAATATTGTGACATCTCCTTGATTTTTGTTCCACCTACATTGGTGGAACAAACAACGTGTTTTTGTCCCACTTAGTCCTATCCTATCCTGGTCTAATGTCGCGCCAAACAGGGAACAAGTTTTTCTTCTGTCTTGTCCCGCATATCAAACGCATTGAGTGTTGTTCGGGTAAGCAAACAGAACTGGACGGGCGAGAGTGATGTATGTGGGTGAAAGAATTGTCGAAGGTTTTAGGGTTTAATTTGACATGGATAGTTCAGTTATTTATCAATCTTGTCATGTATCCTGGATTTTGTTATGGTGGGACAAAACGTATTTTTTTGTCCCATTTCACCCTATTCAGTCGCGGTCTAATGTCGCACCAAAACATGGGACAATAAGTTTTTGTGTTTTTTTTGTCTTGTCCGGCTTACCAAATGCATTAGAGTGCGTTCGGCAAGCAGATAGAAATGGACGGGACTGGACAAGCGAGAGTGATGTAAGCGGATGAAAGAATTGTGCAAGGTTTTAGGGTTTTAATTTGACATAGATAGTTTAGTAATTTATCAGTCTTGTTACATCTCCCTCATTTTGTTTCACCTATTTTGGTGGGACAAAATACGAATCCTATTCTCTCCCGGTCTAACGTCACGCCAAACTTGGGACTACAAGTTTTTTTTTTGGGCGAGAGTCATGTAGGCAGGTGAAGGAATTGTGCAAGGTTTTATGGTTTAATTTGATATGGGTAGTTTAGTAATTTATCAATCTTGTCCATTTTAGCATTTCCCCGATATTCTTTCCACTTATTGTAGTGGGATAGAAAAATGCTTTTATTCTATCTTATACCGCATACCAAACATGGGACAAGTAGTTTTTTCTTATGGTTTAATTTGATATGGGTAGTTTTTTCTTTCTATCTTATCTGTAAGTTTTTGTTCCCGTCAAACATCGCACCAAACGTGGGACAACAAGTTTTTGTTCTATCTTATACCGCATACCAAACGCATCCTAAGAGAACCAAATTTGCTCCAAATCAGACAAAACAAAGAGCAATTAAGTTTAATATAGAAGGTATCGAACATACGGATTCAATTGCATCCAAAAGGCGACGACACATCCCTTGGCGCCTATACATGTGACGGGTTCCAATGAAAGGCATTTCGGCTAACCGATACCCATGTATCCTGTCATGCATAACATTAAAAAATTGTGAGGTTGGTTCAAACCACTGAGCATTTTAACATGAATAAAGTTAAAGAAACCAAAGGGTTATTGGCCCAACGGTACCCAGGTTACTGGTAGAGCCTAGGCCCTGGAGGTCAGGAACTCAAACCTAACCAATGATTAGTGTGTGTGAGTATTTGCCACACACACACACACATACATATATATATAGAGAGAGAGAGAAGGAGGTTCAAGGGAATACCCCCAAAAAAATGCAAAATTGAGAAACACTTCGATAACCGTTCATCTGTACAATATACACATGTGCATACAAGTAATTGAAGTTGATTCTTGGTCTCTATGCACATGTGCATACCGTCTAAATAAATGGTTACATCAGTTTTTCATTTTTTTTGCGGTTTTCTCGGTTCAGGGGAAAACCACAAAGAATGAAAAACTGAGGATGACGCTGATAACCATTCATCTGTATGGTATGCACATGTGCATACACGTAATTTGTAATGTGTGAGGTATGCACACGTGCATAAAAACCAAGAACCAGCTTCAATTACTTGTATACACATGTGAGTACTATCTAGATGAATGGTTATCAGGGTGTTCCTCAGTTTTTCATTTTTTTGGGGGTTTTCCCCTAAACCTCGCTCTGTATGTATCTTTTATTTATATATATATATATATACACACACACACATACATATTCTATACTTGAAAATAAAGTTAAGAGAAAGTGACCGTATGGATGCTGCTGTGATCAATTCATCCCCCTTCTCCAAAATAGCCGTTAAGAAGCCCGCATAATCCAGACGCTTGAAGTTTGAGCTGACAACAAGTTTCCAACATATTAGTACACAAAAAGATATCGTAAGAAGATAGTGACAATATCGGAAAGCAATACCACTAGTATCAAGGTGACATTTCAAATGGATACTAAAGCAGAGAGAATTGTCCTTGTTAACTTACTGTAACCATATCAATGACTATCTCAGGATAAAAAAATTTGTCATGAGAGTCAATGACCTTAAAATATACATGAACATATATCTAGTTCCAATAGGGTGCATTTGATACGGTTGGCAGGAGAGAACTAAACTGAAATGGACTAGTTGTATGCAAGGGCGGACCTATGAATGCCCCAGCGAGGGTCCCGTGCACCAGCTCAGCCGATTTTCGCCAGTAGAAACATTTTTGGGGTATGAAAGGTGCACCCGCTAAACCTTGAGGAGTGCTTTTGGAACCGGGATATCAGAAAATACAAAGAACGTCAACCAAAAAACCGAAAAAGTCCCTCAAAATCAACCGAAAAAGTCTCTCGAAGTCAACCATAACCGAAAAAGTCCCTCGAAATCAACCAAAAAACTTAAAAAATCCCTTGAAACGGTCGGATTCGGCTAAATCGAATGACTTGGCAGACCTTTGATACACCTTAAAGGATCATCCGCTAGGCGAAAATCTTGGGTCCGCCGCTCTCTGGTATTTGGACAATATATTCACGGCAATTGTGCAACCCAAAAATGTGTTTCCTCAAGGAAAACTTTTGAGGAAAAATTTCATATATTTAGGTACGTTACCTCCACGATCTATGGAGATGGAATAATTATTTTTGTCTAAAGAAAAAGGATTCCTTTATGGCACAAGAAACTGTCAAAAGGTTTATAATTCGAGGAATGTAGGGATGATAACAATGATTTCAAGCAAAATATAATGGTTAGAAGCTTACCCACAGTTGTATACAACATTACGGATCATACTGGTTCCACTTCTTTCGTCGACAATTGGCACAAAACATTCATCCATAACAGAGAATGCAACAGCCAATTTGGAATTACATTCAACGTTCAATTGGGTGTCCTGAACACTGAAATCTTGGCCAACATCAGAACGTTGGAGTAGAGTCCATGAAAATCCATCTTCGAGTTCAACCTTCACCCCAAGATACGTCTGCAGTCGCTCAAAGAGCTATTAAAAAAGAAAATTCAGAATCACAAGTGGGATTAGAATAATAAAGGCTAACAGAATGATATGTGCATATATATATATATATATATATATATATATATATATATATATATATACATACATATAATATAAAAGTTCAAATGAGAACCATAAATATTTTGAGAACCTTCAGAACCAACTATTTCATGTATTATTTATTATGAATAACCCTGAATAATCATGAATATCTGTTTTATTCATGATGACCCTGAATAATCATGAATATCATCTATATTCATCATGAATAAATATCACGACATTCATCATGATTAACCAAAGAGACCAGAAAATCTCACGACATACATAAATATACGCAGACCTAATCTCTACCCTAAATAGTAGAGAAGTTGTTTCCATGAAGACTCCGGCTAGGTGCAAGTTGTAAGAAAGGTAGAAAAACATATACACTAGACATTGAATACGCAATAGCAACACAGATAGGAAAAGAGATAGAGAAAGACAGATATGCTAAATTTTGAGAAAGAAGGTATGAGTAGACAGTACAAGAATATAATCAAGGTGTAGAAGCTACACAGCCCTAATCTATCACAACATTCATAATGAGTAAGCATGAATAGTTGGTTCCCATGTTCTCAAAATATATACAGTTCTCAGTTGGACCTTCCCCTATATCTTTGTGTATACATATGCATATATGTATGTATATCCTAAAGAAAATTGGGTTAGTCGGTTTGTTCCTCCTTTTTGAATTTCCAAACAAAATACCATTCAACAATAATTGTTACCTCCTGGCATTTCCTTCCACAGAAAGGTAGTTCGCTGGAATCTACATTTACAGCTTCCACTTCTTGTAAGCAAGAACGATGGACTGTTGCATTCAAAAAAGTGTTAGCAAGATCACTGAATTACAGAGATAGTCAAGAAAGAAACAAGAAAAATGAAAAAAGCGCAGTTTTCAGTAGTTAACGATTATATGAATGACGTACATTTCTCCTCACACAAACCGCACGAGAGCATTTCAGAGGTAAGTGCATCACGAGAGTCATCCATTTGAGGGGCAGTAAAGGAAACCACTCCACAAAATTTGCAAGAACAGTAGATGCAATTCCAATCCCCAGAAGGAAAATTCTACAATGCACATAAACCGCATAAGTAATCTAGCAAGATGGATAATGAATTACTAGACTAACTTTTTACGTCTCTACTTGCCAATAAAGAAAAACACATTATCAATCTAGCAGCTTAAGATACTTTTATGTAAACCAAACTAAACGAACTCAGTATATACCACTTGAAAGTATCTGAGAGGGGTAGGATGCACACAGACCTTACCTCCATCACTAGGATCAAGAGGTTGTTCCATGAAGACCCCGGCTTGACTCCATCCGTCCCAAAATAAGTGTCCACATTTATATTATTAGTTTGTCCCCAGATAAGTGTCCACTTCCAAAAATAAGTATCTACTTTACAATTTTACCCTTAATTATGAAACAGAGAAAATTTCTCTCTCTATAGGGGTAAAATTGTCATTTAGTTAATTAAAAAGCGTAATAATTATACATTCCTAAAAATTGTGTGCCTTTTCATTGTGGACATTTATTTTGAGGCATAGGAAGTAACAAGTAGTAAAAACGATTCAATGGTGTGCAAGCAGACAAAGTAATAAGGTAAAACATGTAATACAACTAGAACTAATATATATATACCTACCAAACGACTTCAATACCCAGTTGTCGGCTCTCTAACCCTCCCCAACCTACCAACTACCACTCCACCCCACACACAAATATATCAAGCTAAACCAAATGAACCCAGTATATCCCACTTGAAATTAGGGTCTAGGAGGCGTAGAATATACGAGGATCTTACCTCAAGCACTAGGAACGAGAGGTTGTTTCCGTGAACACCCCCCACTTGTGCACAAAGCAAAGGTAGACAATAAGATAGGTAATGTAACAGGTAATTGGGAAATATAACAGGTGGTATAATGATTCAATGGTGTGCAAGCAGACAATGTAATCAGGCAAACACGTAATACAAGTAGAAACTAATGTATATAGCAATTTTTAAACATGTAAGACTGGTAAGAAAGCCAAGCATAACGTATCAATCGTAGTTATCCCACACAAAAAGCCTATTTACCTACTTTGTACCCTCCTCTTGATACCCTTGTCGCCATCCTCTATTGTGTCCTACTAAAAGTCGGTCACTCTAGTTTTGTGCCTCCAAGAATTCCAATCAAAAGTCATGCCCTTGGAAATGCCTAAAGTTTTCATGTCCATCCTCAACTGGCCATCCCACGTTCTAAGCCTACCCCTCCTCGCCTCCTCAACCGTCACACTCTCCGCTATCCTCATTTGGGTTGTAGAACGTCACATACGATTACAAACATGCCCAAACCACCTCAATCTACCCTCTCTAAATTTATCTATGATAGGTGCACCTGTAACATCCCAGGCTAACCGTACCAAATATTGTCCGCTTTGTCCGCACACCTGGACTCCCGGTTTTGAAACACGTCTAATAGATGAGGTATCCAATCCGTTAGAAGGCAACCTTAGTTCCCCTCCCCAACCAATGTGGGATCTTACAGCAACCCCTAGTTCCGACCGAAAAACTTCGTTCAAAAGCCTATCTATGGTCGGTCCATCGTTCATCTCAACATCCTCATCTTCCAATTTACTTATTTGTATTTCTTTACTACCTAACACTCAAAATCGTTGGTCTTATGGCTACCTCATACACAACATATCAACCCTAAAACCAACAAGAAGTGCATTTATGTGGTTTTTAACAAAACATTGTTGACAATTGATCCCACTCATTTGAGATCTAGACATAACCTCTTATGATCTAAAACATAAATTTATAAATTGTAGGGTCATGTTCTGGTGAAAATAAGAGGTATGGTGAGAAGGTGAGAACGAAACCCTCATATACATTAAACTACCTCTTTTACCATCATAACTGAAAGTTTAACAAATTCATGCATGTGAAAGTGATTAAATGGATGTAACAGTCCGTGGAAGTGACTTAAATGTGAAGATAAATTTGAAAATAAAGGTAGACGAATGTAGTTGAAGGTAGTTGAATTTAATTGAGGGTAGATAAATGTAGTTGAAGGTATTGAAAGTAGTTGAAAAAATTAAGTTATTAGATTAAAAAGTCAACTCATCTAAAGGCTCAGAAGTGTTCTCTTCTCCCCATAACTCTGATTCTCACACGAGTCATAAATTCTATACCTCCAAAGTCCAAAGTGGGAAAAATGCAAAAAAGGGCTTCCTTTCATACATTAAACAAAGAATGACATTAGTTACAGCTATACCGTTCATGCATATACTCGTGACAAGTTCATAAGAGCATAAGATATATATATATATATATATATATATATATGATCTAAGAAAAATATATATCTTACAATAAGAACAAGTACAAAGTTCAAAAGATCAAAGGGGACATCATTACTTGGATATCGAGGCAATTCTGATGGAATGTTGAAGGGCAACCGTCACAACAAATCAAGTTTCCCCCATCTCCACAAATGTTGCACGTATCATCATTGGGATCTTCTCCTTTAACATCAACACGATTAAATCCGATGGTATTTGATTCCTCTTCTTTCCTCCATGAATCCAGCATGCACTTCAGAAGAGACGTTCCAGATTCCAAATATACGTTATCGAATGGCTGATTCAGTTTCCCTCCAGCATGGGCTACAAATCTTGAAATACCCATAATTTCGTTACAGCAATTGCAATGAATCCCATCACTAGTAATTATCCCTTCGGACGATCTTTTCTGCCTTCTAGTTTTCCCATATTGCACCTTCGAACCCGCCAAAATAACTCCAAGATCGATCATCCAAGAAAGAAGATTCCGCTTCCCACTGTACATCAAACATCCATCATTATCTTGTTTTGACACCTTTTCTGAACTACGAGCTAAAAGGCGTGGCTTTCTGCTCTCGGTGACGATACCCTTTTCACGATTTGGATGCTTTAACGATTTATTAGCCGATCTTGTAGCAGAATTCCGTATCTTTTTCCTCTTTGAACCATCTTTTGTATTCTTACCAGCTCTCTTCCTTCTTTTGGTGACAATTCCGGCCTTATTTACATCAATCGGTTTTCGGTTCTTCTTCTTCTTATAGCCATGTACCTTATCAACCACTCGGAATAGCATACCAATTTCTTCCTCAGATATCGGAATGTATGCAGAGACCTCATTACTATCGGCATCACCATCTTCAATTTTCTTTTTTAGCATAAGATAAGCTCTGGTAATAGACCAATGTGATCTCCCACTAGGTTCAATATAAACTGCATCCTTATATGCTCTTTCTTGCCTAGGTCTACGATCGATTATCCAGCCGGAATTCAAAAGTATATCGACTATTTTATCTCTCACTAACTGTTTGCATTTGAGCCTTTTCATCGGCTTACTGATAATCCCTTTTCCTTCATCCATCATTTGTTCGCTATTTTCTTCAAACTGCTGAACCTTTTGTGGGTTCTCACCGCTGACCTCCAATAAGCCCTCTTCTTTTCGTATCTTCTGAATTTTGGGGACCCTTTTGACATCATTAGCTTTCAACCGATTGCTGTTTTTCTTAACTTCCATAAGCTTCACAGTTCTCATTTTGATCACATTTGCCAACACCCGGGAATCAATTTTGGGTGGTCTTCCACGACGTTTGAGTTTCTTGAAAATCATATCTTTGTGTCGGTTCTTCTGAACTCCTTGTGGTGCCGTTTCTTTCCGTGGTCTTCCCCGTGATCTTTTTGGTGTCAAAGGAATCTCGGCAGAAGGCATAGTTTCGTAACGCACCTTCGGAGGTCTTCCACGGCGTTTTAGTTTCTTTTTCGGTATCTCCGTCAAGATACCATCTTTCTTTAGTGTAGTTTCACCCTGAACCTTAGGAGGTCTTCCACGCCGCTTTAGTTTCTTTTCCGGTCTCGGGCTAGAGCTCGGCTGACGGTTTTCGTCTTCTCTTTTGAACACATTTAAAGACGAATTTTCACTCGGCCGCACCTTAGGAGGCCTTCCACGCCGCTTTTGCTTCTTCTTTGGTCTGGCAGCCAGTTCAGTGCCTTCACCTTCTTTGATAATTCGTTTTAAACCAATAACCACCTCAACTCTGCCATGAACCGCCTTAACACCGCCACCAATGGTCATAGCCCGTGATCGCAACAGCCTCCCGTTGACCTGAACTCCACCCTTCTCTACTTTCTCCCTTTTCGCAATCCCGTCTCCATTGCATTCAGAAATCTCCACATTTTTCCTTTTCCGACCCCTTTTACGTTTCACACCATTCTCACTGCAACAAACATCAGCCTTCCCAACTTTCATTTCTTTGCTTCTCGTATCAGAGTCTTGCTTACTTTCATTCTTCTTTAAGTTACCCGCATTTCCCTTTTTTCTCCCACGCTTACCTTTTCCCTTCTTTTTCCCACGTTTATCCACACCAGCATCGGCTTTCTCAGCATCATTCAACAAATTCGAGTCATCCAAGACCGCAGTTGTGGCTTCTTCAGAGTTGTCACCATTGGCGGTAATCATTATATCATCGACAAACTTTCCAGATTCTACATTTTTAGACCGAGTTCCACAGTCCATTGTTTCTACTTCCGGTGAAGTATGAAGCTTGCTGATCGAAGATATATGTCGGGATGGTATTTCTTCCTTAAAACCACCATCTTTCTCACTCAAATTTATTAAAACCGGTTTGTTTCCTTCTTCACCGCCACCGCTGCCACCACCAGAACTTTCAACTTGAACACGCTCAACGCTTTCCTCCTCGATTTCTCCTTCTGGGCAAGAAACAACCAAATCTTTGATAGGATCCAACACCTCAGATCCCAAAAACAATCCTTTATCGTCAGTATTTCCGCCATTCTTTGTAACCTCCAAACTTACAATCTTACTTCCATTATTCGGACCCATTTCAAGATTATCGTGGGCATTATCAACACAAACCCCAATTTCAACCTCATTTGCTCCCTTTTTACCAGAATTTGACTCATCAGAGCTCAATTGTAACCTCTTTTTATCCCCAAAATCATGATTCTGGATACTTGAATTGATATCTGGTTTATCCCTCTTCAAAACCCTACTCGATCTCAATTCCATCCTGGAAAACCCTAAACACCATTAAATTAACATCAATCCCCTAATTTTCTAACTCAAAAACAGATCTCATTTGTTAAAATTCATGATCATCTAGGAACAAACAGTAATCGAGCCCTTGAATTACTTGATCATCGAGTAGCACCAATGCACTTTCAAACCGAAAAAATCGAAACCCAATTCGAGATCATTCAATCAAAATCAACACATTCAAACCAAAAAATGTACGAATTCAAACTCTTCACTCTTCAGTTCGAAGAAGACACCCAACGAATTAAGACTCAACAACCAAAAACAATTTAGAAAACCAAAAAAATTCAACGAAAGCCAACTCGATAAATCAAAATCTTACCTGATACGATCAAGAGCACCGATTTGAGCTTGGAGAAAATTCGATTTCACTATCAATACATGGTGGAAACACAAGATTGCGAAGCGTTACATGAAGAGGATACTGATTTGGTGGGTGATGAATTTAGAGAGAGAGAGAGAGAGAGAGAGAAGATACGAGGGTTTTATTGAGAGAAAGAGAGAGGGGATCTCTTTGTGGGGGGTGCTTTACTATTGGTTTTTCGGGTTATATTTAGTTCTGATACGAGTATTTTTTGTGGGTTTCTGTAGTCAGCAACATCTGCAAGAAATATAGGCGGGATTTTTGGTATTTTCGAGGATTTTTGGTATTCATTTGGGTAATTGTAATCTTCTTGGGTTTCTGGATCTAATTCTCTGAAGAAATCGATCTTTTAGGGTTTACAATTTGGATCTTTAACTGGCTTTTAATCACACTCCCAATATGGATAAAGAGTCGCTCACCTTCTGCTCTGTATAATGCCATTATTCAGTTTCTAATTTTGAGATTGAATTGAAGATTTAGAAAATGTTTGCTTCAAGATATATGTTAAATACAGAAAAATAAGAAAAGATATAGCATAGATTTTGGAGATGTTTTTAGAAATCTTGAGAGATTCATCTGAAATAGATTAAAAAAGATAAATTACATGAAAAAGTAACGTACTTTAACTTGATTCATATTTTGGATAGCGTACTATTAAAACTTCCATTTTGCTACCTAAGATGTAAATTTTTAAACATTTAAGTACTCGAGTAACTGGCTAAAGCATTAACCGGTTATCATGTTGATTTGATGAGTAATATGGTATACAACTCAGTATTATTTGCTGAAGCATTAACCGGATACCACATCACTCGTCGAATCAGCATGGTAACCAGTTAATTACTTAAATGTTTAAAACTTTACATCTCATATACCAAAATGGAAGTTCTTAAAGTATGTTACTCAAAATAAGAATCAAGTTAAGGTATGTTGTTTTTTCATGCAATTTACCCATTAAAAAGAAGAATAAAGAAATCTCCCAATTTGGAAGAAAATAGGGAAAAAGACATAGCATACCTCTTGGAGATGCTCTAAAAGCGTAAATATGTTAATTGGTTTAGTGATATCCGAATTACTGATAAAAAAAACCTGGTTTATTTATAGGTTGAAACTTTGAGAATTCAGATAGCATGGGATCTGAGTTGTATGCATGAATGATTATTGTATATAAATATATGGTTCAAAAAAAAAAATTCATAAACACTTTGATTTCCTTTGTAGGGCACAAAATGGAAGTTACGTGTAATGTATTGGGTTAAAAATGTTTTATTTAACTCTCTGTGCAAAAACTGTTTTATATGCTTTCTAGTTTAGCTTAAATGCTTTGTAGTTAGTTTAATGTTTTGTAATAAATGGTATAAATAGGAACCCTTGTTAGTTGTTTATTGTTACCATCGATCGTTGAGAGAGTTAATCTATGTGAGATCTTTGAGAGCATATCGGGCATCTTACTGTATTCATCAGGAACACTTTGTAATCATTTGAACATCAGTATACAAGTCGACATTCTTGATAATCGAGCTGTGTTCTTGATTATGTTTTAATCTTGATTTGTGAATTAAATCTGGGTTCACGTAATGGTCTGAATAAGTCGGTTTGAGAATAATGATGGAAAACTAGCTGAACAGTCGGATGGATGATTAGGGATATACGAAAAGTGTGTCGAAGAAACGTATTACTTTGGTACGAATGGATTTATAGGACCACAATCAATCAACAAAAAGATTGTGGTGAAAGCTATTGAAGGTTGATTTCAAGATTTCAGCAATTTACGAATATCTTGTACTTTTGTTTTTAATGTAAATCACGAAAACTTTATAACATGTTATCTTCTGCAAATTTTATGATTTTATGACAGATTTTAGTTTTAAATATTTCTACAAGCCTGCAAAAAATGGCAACACCTTTTGCAAAGGACTCAACATGTTCTTCAAATAACGTTCAAAATTATACTCAAAACATGTGATTTTACTTTGTATGCTATAACATATGCAGTTCGCTTTGGTCGTAAGACAAATGCCATTTGATCATTGTGTTCCCATTGAACAATTTTAAAATTGAATCACCATAGTCCGGACCACTGTAAAGGTACACGACCCCATGTAGGCATAAGGGCACAAGACCATAATCATACTACTTTACTGTAATTTTCTAAGCAAAAAGAAATACAGAAAAACTGGTATTATCAATCAGAAATTTCAACAAGATAACTGATACTTTGTGAACTGGACAAGAAGATACCCAGGAAGGTGCTTGAAGAACCCACGTGATGTTATAGAAGATGTGATAATATGTCAATATGTTAGGGTATATTCGTTTTCTGATATATATATATATATATATATATATATATATATATATATATATATGTGTGTGTGTGTGTGTGCGTGTGTATGTGTATATTTGGAATCATGTGAGACAAGGTTGTTTTTGTGAGACACATGAGACAACATTTTTACAGTTGAAATTTTACAGTATTTTTCTTGTGAAGGTTCATTTTTCTTTTTTATCTACACAACATTTTATTGTGAAGTTTCAAGTATAAAAATGTTATCTCACGTAAACCCAACCAGTTTTTATTTTTGCCATTTGTAATAATTGCGATCGTTGCTTTAAATAATTGTACCATTTTCATACGAAAATATAGGATGTTTTTTATGGATTATTAGAAATAAATAAATATTTTATTTTTTGATAAGTTTTTATTATAAATTGTTCCTAAAAAAGGTGACATTTTATTAATATATTGATTATAAAAATATAATTTATAATCAGATATTTTGATCCTTCCGTAAGTTGATAAGTTGCTATTTACGAAGGTAGTGACTTTGTAAAAAATTTGGAAGAGAAATGGATAAAAAGATGTATGTGGTCTTTGAAAATGGTTATTTCTATTAATTTATTTAAATATTCATACTTTTATGATATTCTTTTATATTTTGATCTTATTACATGATAGGAGTCGTTCACCAAACATTTACTCAGTAAGTACTTACAGGTAGAGATGGCCAAAACCGGTCCCGTGCCCAAACAATAACAATCTGGACCGGTCCCGGTCACGTCGAAAATACTAAGGCCCGATTAAGGGTATTTGTAACCAGTTACGGTAACCTGTCCCGGTCCGGACCCAAACAGGTCCTATATTATAAAAGGAAATTCTTTTTATATTTTTTTTGAATTTCTTTTTGATAAATTTTAAAAAATAATTTAATGTTATTCTAATACATTTTAAAATATATAATTAGGTCAATTAAATACATTTAAAAAATACGCTTTATTGTAGTTTTATAATTGGTTTTCAATCAAATAGACTTAAAAATTACGTTTTATTATAACTTTATAATTGTTTTTTAATCAAATACACTTAAAAAAATATGTTTTATGGTAAATTTATAATTTGATTATCAATCAAATATACTTAGAAAGCTAGAAATACATATAAAAATATATTTTTTTTGAAAAACAGTCCTAGGTCCGGTCTTCTTTTTGGATGAAAACCATAACTTGAACCTTAACTGACGGTACCAAACCGGTCCCAATCTGTCCGGTTTGGTCGGTCCCGATCTTGGTCCTCCGGCGGTCCCGAGCCGGGTCCATTTGGCCATCTCTACTTACAGGTGAAATTTAATGCTATCACTTACTTACCGGATAACATTTTAGTACACCAAAACAATATCATATACAACAATTTACCCTGTAAATGCTAACATGGTAATAATCGTCGTCCTCATTTACCGGGTAAAGCTCTTCGCTCTTATCAGGTAAGATTCTTATTCCTTATCATATTTATTTGATAAGGTGATACAACTTCACAACTGTTTATCCGAGTAAGCATTTGGTAAACCACCCCTTACTAGTTTTTTTAAAGTAAAAAGAAACAAGTATAATAAGTATTAAAAACCCAATAAGTCTAATCAGGCAGCTTTTTCTACAATTAGATGGCCAACCTAATTACGTAATTAACTAAGTCCATTATTCAATTCTTATCAAATCATTAAAAAAACAATTGACAACCTATTTTTAACATGAATATCCAAGAATGAATATCCAAGTCAGATTGTGTGTACACTCAATAGATTAAGACAAAGACATAATCTAAGTATACAAAGATGCATACATGAATAAACCATCAGACGTTGACCCGACGTAGGATCTCGGGGGCAAAATGTACACAAACCTAACTTTTCCTTCAAAAAGTACAACTTTTTCTGTGAAAACCACAACTGGGGTTCGTGTTTTTAAGATCACCAAATCAAAGGGGTTCAAAAACACCCACAAACAACCAACAAATATTTGTAAGGGGAAGCTACGTTGGTTTTTCATCCCGCCTATGGATAAAGTTGTCTGAATTGATAAAGCCTTTCTTTGGAAAGGTTCTTATATAGTTAGAAAAAGCGTGTTTTAATTGAGAAGGAAAGATTTGAAAAGGAAAAATTAAATTTTTGCGTAATACTCACTCCTAGAAGCTTACTAAATAAGTCATTTTCTACATCATTAAGCCACTACCAAACCGTCATGTATGTAGCCAACCGAACAGGTTACGGCCCCATTAAGCTCCTAACAAACATACACCAAGTAAACCCTAAAAACTAGGAGCACCAAAAAACAGTCGGGCATTTTTGCAAAACAAATAACCATAAAAAATTGGACAAAATGTCGATAGATCACATATAATGTTCTTGCTATATCAAGCTCTAAAAAACTCAGGTCATCTCAGCGTCGTAATATCCAATTTGATCATAATTTAAAGATGTGATAAGGAGTCGAATACCAAGATATCCAAAAAGATACGATGCTAAGATAATTTTGAAAATTGCAGCATAATCTCTCAACGCTTACTTCTTCTTCTTGGCAGCATCTCCGGCCTTGGTCTGCAAAAACAAACCCGATTTATAAGATATATCTTATAACGCATGAAGTCGATCATCTATTAACCTGTAAACTTAGTAACTCCATAGTGCAATTTTGAGATCCAAATAGGTTCAAATTCAACATTATTATGATTCAATATACGGTCTTATTCTTGCACTTCCCATATGTGTAAATGTTGGCTAGGCAAAATGCATCAAAATACAATGAAGTTTGTTTTTGTTTCTATTTAGTGAAACAAATAATTTTATCCCAATCCAAGCATCAAAGTTCCAAAAAATTTCTACTTTTTCACCATTTTGACCAATAATTTACCGATCTTGTAACATTTGATGAACAGGATGTGAAGTTTACCTCCACTAGGATGTAACCCTTTTGTAAATCTTTCGATGAAGGGCGTGTTTGTCATCAGATATTACAAGATAAGCAAGTTACCGGTCAAAATGAGTATTAAAATTTGAACTAAAGCAAACTTCGTTGCAATTTGCCCACATGTTGTTATGACTAATCGTAGAGAGAATAAAATATGTTTCGACTCATTTAACAAGAAAACCGTCAGCATGGACATTTTTCGAGACAAATGCAGTAACACCGTTCAGACAAAAGATCATCCCAAAAAACCTCATGTCGAATAGACATTTTAAAAATGTTAGAATGTAAATTAACTACTTACCTTCTTTACACCTCTGATCTTCTTGGACCTGTTCTTTCTTTCCTTCATCTGCTTTCTTGACTTCTCAATCTTGGTGTCCAAGCCATTCTACAAGAAACCAAAAAATAAATGAGAATTTTCGAAAGCAAAAGGATTGTATAAAAACCAACGAGAGGTAACTTAAAAGCATCAAACGTATGACCATTGCATTAAAAGCGAGCTCAATAGAAAAACTTGAAAAACTTTAGAATCTTAACTCTTCAAACCACTCTGGATTATTATATTCAGGGTCAACTTGACAACCAATTTTTCCCATTTTCCATTTTTTGAAAGAACATAATCATATAATGAGAAAATGTGCATTTACTCGGATGTTTTTATGTACAAAAATCAAGGTAATTTAATGGTCGATTCCTAGGATACTTGAGACTTGAGTTCTCACATAAATGCACTAATATAAGCACAATTCATGACAAAACATTGAACCTTTCTCTCACAAATATAATGTTACACCCAGATAAAATAGCAGCCAGACCACACATATATGGAAACAGATTTAATTAACAAACACGCATTAGAAACAAGACAAAGTCTAGTCATTATACTACCTCTGTCTCAAAATAAATGTCTACAACAAAAAAGGCACATGGTTTTAAAATTTTGTTATATTACACTTTTTATTCAACTAAACTGACAATTTTACCTTAATAATAAAAGGAGTGATGAATATCTATCTATTAAGGGTTGAATTGGAAAGTAGATAATTGCTTTTGAAATTAGACACTTATTTTAGAACAAACTAAAATAAAAATGTGGACACGTATTTTGAGGCAGAGTTAGTATTTTAAATACATACATCTATAGTTGATAATATCATCAAACAAACAAGAGTAAGAGAGTTACCCTGACGAGCCTGTACTTTGGCTCATACTTCTTTGCATTCTCAACAGAATCATAGATCAATCCAAAACCAGTTGATTTACCCCCACCAAAGTGAGTCCTGAACTTGAATACAAAGATAGAACTTGGATCTTTAACATCGTATATCCTTCCCAACTTCTCCTTCAGTTCAGCCTTCAATAGAAAGTAAATAAAAGTTACTTTTGTGTTAAAACCAAATGCAACACAGCCCATAAAAGTGATCACTGCCGACATTATGAGTTGTATTATATTGCATCATCAATTTCCCATGCTATCTCAATAAGGTACTACCAAAAAACCCAGCATATCCCACCTGAAGGTGGGGTTTGAGAGTAAGATATACGCAAACCTGACCTCTACACGAAAAAATATCTCAACGAATTACTGGAAAGCGAATACACTTCTTTGAAGTAGTACACATCTAGATAAAGCTATGAGATCCAAAGGTGGGTCTAACACCATCGAAGATGAAATGTATTACGCTTTGTATTGTCATTAAAAGCTAAGCTAGACATGGGAAAAAGCAATCCATGACTCTATCCCCTTTTACTTTATATATATATACACACACACACACACATATATATATATATGAAGATAGGTTGTCTCATCTAAAATTGTGTTCATTTGATCAAATAAAAGATCTTTGTTCTTCTTGTATGTTTTATGCAGTCTTGAACAGATGTTGAATGTTCAATAAGTTCTTTTATTCGAAAAAAAGAACAAATGTTACACACATATAGAGAATATATTGTTACAACTTAATGAGTAGAGAAGGGTCAAACCTTGGATACATTGGGCCTTCCTGGATGTAGCACATCGATCACCTACATTAACAGGACATATATTCATCATGAATATTTAAAATCAAAGTGACAATTACATTATTACAGATCAAAATAGCAACAGTTAAACATGAACTCACAAATTGCTTCCTGGAAAGAAGCCTGTTTGTCATGAACTTCCTTGTACGAATTGTCACAGCCTTAGTGTCCGCCATTTTCACTACTAAATCCCCAAAAAAAAAGCAAAAACTCAGAACAGGGTGGTGAATTTCACTATTAGTAACAAGAAGTACTGATAGTAGTACAGGGTTAAGCATTTAAGAGAGAAATAACTAAGCTCTTATAAATATATAAACTCTATTTAAAACTCAGTAAGGCTTTCATCTGAACAACGTTTCAATTGGATTTAAACAAAAACAAGAAGGGTGTTAACTCGTCGAGTTGCAAGTCATTCGAGCTGTGATCGGAAAAATCTTACCAGGCTCAAGCTTGAATAACTTTTGCAATGTTAGAGCACGAACTCATACTCGTTTACAAGCTCCAACTCGATAACTTTTGTACTTTGATTATATGATTTATGAAAATAAACATGTTAGGCTAAAAAAAGCATATGCTTAAATGGCTCGCATCAGCTCAACTTGAAAATATTACTCGAGCTTTCAAACTAGAACGAGCCAAATCTAACATTGTCGCTACAGACTCCTTAGGTTGAGCGAGTTCTAGAGTGTGTGTTCAAGATAAACTCGAGCTTGACAATTATTAAGCTCGAGTTCGAGATAAACAAGCTGGAGTTCCTTACCAAGCATAGGAACTCGGATAATTCTAAAATTCATATGTTCATTACAGAATCGACAGATACATTGATAAAGTTTGCGACGCCTCACTCCCTAATCAATTATTCTAACGAGTAGACAAGCCCATCCATTTGATTTCATTGTCTAATTTAACTTCTAAAAATTCGTAAAACATATACACTGTCGAAGCAATAGAAACCGTGACGTCAACAATGGCATCAAAGCTAGCATTTTCGTACACATCACACCACTATACAACTCAATTCGAAGAAAACAATTGTGTTATCACTGCTGAAAAGGTTCCCTCCTCCCTCGCCGTGATTATTATTTACCAAATAAGGTAAAAACAAGTGATCATTTCATAGAAACAAAACATATAAGGATTGACAAATCAACAATGATTACCGGAAGAGACGAACCTGCTACAGCTACTCCAATGGACGGCGGCTCTGCCTCTTCTTCGTCCTGCTAGTTATCGGATGGGAACGAAGTGAAAAAAAAAACCCTAATCGCGATGTATAAATGGGTAATGTAGATTGTAGAAAGGGGACAGTGGCTTTGTTAGCTTTCTGTGGACCGAGTTAAAACCCTTACTTTGGGCTGGGCCCATATAAAAAATTAAGCCCAAAATCTCATCTTTCTAATTTTTTTTATTAACCTCGATATCCAACCTGACCACCTGCTTTACGGGTATCCCAAAGTCACCACATTTGAATCTCTGTGGCTACAAGATGATTTTTATTTCTCATGGGATTTGAACCTGGGACCTCCAGACACTTTTGATCTTTGGAGTCCAAGTTCAAACCAATTAGACATCACCCTTGTAGTTCATCTTTCTAGTTTTGAATATTTTGGGCCAAGTAAAAAGTGTTAAAAAATGTCAGTTGTTAATGAAGTTAGACGACACAGTTCTTATTACTATGACTTTCAAAAAGAGTTGTCATATCTCGGGTTCGTGTCGAGAAATGAAAATGTGAATGAATTTCATTCCCTCCGGTTTAGTCTTGAATGAAAATTTGGGTTTGTGAGAGAATGAGCGTATAATATTATATAATACCAAACAGTTTTTATTTTATTTTTATTTTCATTAATTACCTTTGGATACATTTAACCAAACACTCACTTAATGTCCTTAGATGCAGGTTTCTAATGAGGCTAGTTTGAATTATTGGTAACCAATTTTTGTCCAGATAAAAAAAAATGATATGTATTTGTCTGAAATACCTTTGAAGATTCGGGGTCAAGTTGATAAAACAACATTAAAGACTTTAATTAATCATTGATAAGCTAGTTGTTAGCTGATAAACAAATTATGGTTGGTAAAACTAGTTGATAATAATGTAAAATGTCCAAAAAGACATCTTGAAAAATTAATCATTTATAATATTTCAAAATATAATTAAAACAAACTCATAATAATATATATATTAACTAATACAAACAAGATGATGAAAAAAAATTAAAATGTAATATATTGATCAAAAGAATTTCAAATTGGTTATTATATACATTATAATATTTCAATTTGTTAAAAACATATTTCAGAAAAATCTATTATTTATAAATTTTAAATAACCATTAGATATAATATGAATAAAAAAATAAAAATGATTTACCTCGTATATCCTAGTAAATTAATACTTTTTCAAAAAATATATTTAATAATTAAATTAAATATTTTATTCAACCTATTTAATATATATTTTTATCATCTATGAAACGGAATAAGTATAAGTTTAATTTTTATATTATATAAACATCTTTAAAATTGTTATACTTGCGTTTTGATAACTTAATGTATTAAATAATATGAAAATGATTGATATGATTAGTAATTAATATTAGTTAGATCTAAATTTTATTAATATTTATTTATAACTAATAGTAATAAATAATAATTAATATTAATTATGGTTATAATTGGAAAAAGTGACAATAAGTTAACTTATGTGCATTCAAACATGTACCCAAAAAATAAAATAGCTTATTTTTGCCAAACAATGCCTTATTAGCATATAAATCAAGAAACCTATCATTCGTCATTCATCACTTGGCGATATCCACTCGTCATTCGTCACTTGACGAATCCACATGATTGTGCATAGCCAATAGCAAATAAAGTTCTTGACATAAAGATTAAATGAATTCTTATATTAAATCTGCATCGGATACTCATACTAGGAATATCACTTTTATCCACACAAAATTCCGCCATTGATTTAGTGGTGGATGAAAGAACGTTGGATTTGTTGACTTCCGTCACAAGTTCATCAGTAATCCCCCGGTAAACTTAATTAATTTTTTTTTTCTTTAACCTGACAAATTATCAATGACTACCAACAAAGTTTAATCAATTATTTAATTGTTTAAAATCCATCTGTAATTCTATGATAACTTACCCACAGTGTGTATCCCAATTGGCAAAGGGGTGAAGCAACTTTGCCGATACAAGACATGTCCTAGGTTCAATCTCATACTCCTCTCACTAGTCTCAGTCCGTTGAGTGAGTCAAAAAAAAATGTTCCCTCACATTAATGTCATTGGAGGTGGGTTACGTGCGAACACGTTGGTGTTGGTGGTAATCAACTTATCCAAATATGGCAGTAACTTTAATACGATTTTCTTTTAGATCTTTAAAATTACAGGCGGATTTTAACTAACTAATTAATCATTAGTAATCTGTCTATATATTCGGTGAATTTAAAGATTTAAATTAATTAACGTCTAAAGAAATCAACGGTAGAATTACCACGCCACCGGTAATCTTGATTAGAGGCGAATCTTTTTGAACACCTTTGTTTCTACCGTTAATTCACCGCTGATGACTATTACGAGTCAATTAGTTTGTTGGTAAAATCGTGTTCTTTTGTAGTGTATTATAATTCATTTAAAAAAACAAATTAATTGTTATAAATTCAACACTGTAATTTTTAATGGGTAAAATAGACAACTTAAACAAATTCAGACGTTTATTAATTTACAAAAACAAACGGTCTTGTGAATTCATATTTTCAGACGTCAACATCACTCTTATAAATCAGAAGTGAAATAAGATTTCATGCTTCAACACCTCTTAAAAAACAAATTCCACCAAACTCTTAACAATAAACATTGTTTCAAAACATGAAATATGAATAAATCAATGATACAAAGTTATGATATCAATTAAAACATATGGAAAATATTATAACATAATTAATTGTGTGATTAGGAAATGATGACAAGCATCTTTCGAGAAATAAAGGGTCACATGGCATCTTGATTTAGTGTGTCTTCCATGGGCCACATGCTACAAACATTGGAATTAAACCTTAAATGGACAAAACATTGAGCACACTTTTTATTTATATTTTTTTAAATTGATATTGAAGGATTGTTTACCAAATGTTTATCTGAGATAAGTGCTTATTAAGTCATATTGTTTTACCTAATGAATATGACAAGGACCAAGAATCTTACCCGGTAAGAGCGAGACAAGGGCTGAGAGTCTCGGTAAGTGAGGACGACAACTCTTACCACGATTAGCACTTACCAGGTAAATTGTTGCATCCAATGCCGTTTTGGTGGACTAAAATCTTACTAGGTAAGAAAGTGAGAGTGTTGAATTTTACCAGTAAAAGACCCTGAGTATGATATTAATTATTATTTTTCTCTTACAAACATATAATTATTTACATGAATCTTAACTTATATTTGTATCTTTATTAAATATTGACATCTGGGGTTGTTTTATTGTGAAATGACAGTGTTGATGGTTTTTGACGCATTCTCGTTACAATAATATAAGTTATGGAAAGTTAAAAAAATGATATAACTTGTAGAGGTATTGAACTTGGATATTGTTACTGAGTATTAGAACTTCAATAATTTCTAGGTGTGCTCTTTTATCGTCTTGATAAGAGAGAGCGACGATTTTATTCAATTTACAGATTATTTTGACGAACTTTTTGAAGGAATCAGTTATTCATCAAAAAATTTAAAAAAATTGCGACTTTTATACAAACAACTGTTCTGTTATGTGGGGTAAATGTCATATATACTGACTTTTCAACCCCATACACTACTTATTAGTGAGACGTACCGAGTGTATTTGGTTTATCAATAATTGGATACCTTTTTTCATTTCAAATTTATTGTAAGAGCACTCACAATGATATAACCTACAAGAACCTCATGTTCCATGTTGTTCCTGTCATATCATCGTCATCTCAATAAAATAAGAATCTCAATAAAACTCCACAGTGAAGATTCTTATATGACTCTCACCTTCTATTTATAGATATAGTTATCTACAGGGTTGGGTTCTAGTGAGAAAATGTGTTAAGATGATAAACTTAAGAAAAGATCTCCACCATTAAATGCACATTAGAAAGAGATGCATCGTATCAAGACGATGCATGGGTGAGCTTTCAGATTGAAGATGATCGAGGATCCAAATTATTTTTTACGCTTCTCATCTTAACTCTCATTTTCACACAATCATTCGCTTTTATTTATATATTGATTGTATACATATGATATATATATATATAT